CAAGGCGACGCGCTCCTTATGTGACAGCTTATCGCATAGGCTGAGGTAGCATACCCAGAGGTGATAGGTAGAGCAAAACTGGAGAATACGACGGCAAATTTCGTCGATTGGCACAATTTCCGGTGCTGAGATGGCCTTGTTCGCGGCAATGAGATCAAGTTTGTAGGAGTAGAAGTGAAGATACTGTTCGTACAGCTCAGCATTGTCACGATTGGCGACCAGTGCACGAGAGAGCACATTGAGCGAGGAGTCGATGCAAANATGAGATCAAGTTTGTAGGAGTAGAAGTGAAGATACTGTTCGTACAGCTCAGCATTGTCACGATTGGCGACCAGTGCACGAGAGAGCACATTGAGCGAGGAGTCGATGCAAAAGTTGATGTCGTACTCTCGAAAGCGTTTCCAGTAGCAGTAGGCGAGATTAACCCACATTTGAATGTTGTGCGGATCACTGGCAAGCGAGGTTTCCAGTTGAGCGCTGAGTGGGATGCCTTCAGGAGCGAAGAATCGATTTCGAAGGTACAGATCAGGATCGTTCGTGTCGGTCTCGATCAAATCACAGAGCTTGGACAGCTTCATCTGAAACGACTCATCCTTGAGATTAAATCGATACAGGTAATCATCAAAGGGAACGTGAACATCGGCAGGCGCCTTGTGATCACCAAAGTTGACCACTTCCTTGGGAATGGAGCGAATGAGCAGGCTGGACAGCGAGGTTTTCGATTGCTTCCGAATGTCCTTTAAAAACTCTCGACTAACTCCCTCGATCGAATGTTTTCCATGCTGACCGAGTTTACTTTGCGCGTGGCTACTAAGCACCTTCCGCAGTTCTTGAGGGTCGCCTTTAAACTGACTGAGATTCAGATTTTCATCCAACTCTGGCACATAGGTGAGAACGTCCATTAGCTTTTCCTGTGGCCCGTAGAGGTACTCTTTCTTATGCTGGTACTTGCAGTTGGTGTCATTGCAGGATCCAAACATATCGTAGTGGCAGATGATCACGTTAGGATCAAGTCCGTTGGACCAGTAGTCGGTTGAGATGTCGCCCGGTTGGTTTAGCGCAAAACGGTACGAGTTAAAGTGCTGCAGTACACTGCTGTAGTTGTCCGCTGTCAGGTGATTGGCCGAGTTGAGCTGCGGAAACTGATCCAAGTTCACATTGAGCACATCACTTCGCTTCTCGGAGAACTCATTGAACTGAATGGAATGGCTGCTCTTGTAGAAGCTGCTCGACTGAATCAGAGTAAAGTTGAAACTGACGTAGTGTTCAAAGAGGAGTACGGTTTTGTGGCTTTGGCTCGACTTAAGGAAAAAATTGACTTTCCCTCGCAATAACTTGGCCGACACATCTGCCTTTTTGTTGGGATTCTTCGCCATTTTGCTTTTGACAACTTCATTAAAAGATTTGGTCGGTTTCGGCAGTGCAACGACTTTTGCATGCATTGGTGCAATAGATGGAAGGGTGTAAGTGCTACCTGAAAGAGTTTTTCCCATGTTGAGACATGCCTTTCTGTAATGCTTTATCATTTGCATTTCATCCTTTAGTTGCTTTTGTGTTTCAGACATCTCTTTGGTGTCAACTTTAAGCTTTACAGCAAAATGATTTACTTTCTTATTGGCCATCGCCAGCATTTTCTGCAAATGTCGCACTAGAGCTTGTGACTTTTTCAGTTCTTTTCTTGAACCTATTATGCTTTGTTTTAAAATTCCTACTTTTTGAGCTTTTTGTTGTCTCTTTTTCATTGATTCTTTGAGCTTCGACTCAAACTTCTGCAAGTTCTCGTTGGTTACTGTTTTTAGCTCTCGTCGTTCAATTTCCTGTTTCAGCTTTTGATACTCCTCTTGTTGACTAGTGGACAGCTTGTGAATTACATTTGTTCTCGATGGTCTACCAGGTAGTAAGGCGGTACTAATTTGAGGTCGAATGTTAAGCTCGTCTGATTCGCTACTTTCCGCTTCCGAATCTTCATCAGCGGAAAGTTGAATTACAAGGCGATAACGAGAAAAATCTACCTTTGGTTTTGGAGGTTCAGGCACAAGTGGCTTGACGGGTGAATCTGAGTTGACTTTTTCACTCAATGATAAATCAGATGTATCATCTGTCTGTGAAGAAGGCAAATCCAAATCTGTGACTGCTGAATCGCTACCGTTGGTGTCGTTAATAACTGGGGTTCGTTTTTCGAGCATTTTACGGATCAGTTGTTCTCGCAAAATGTTTTCCTCTTCCTCTAACGAGTCGCCATTAAAATTTATATTTTGAGTTAGAGGGGNTCATCTGTCTGTGAAGAAGGCAAATCCAAATCTGTGACTGCTGAATCGCTACCGTTGGTGTCGTTAATAACTGGGGTTCGTTTTTCGAGCATTTTTCGGATCAGTTGTTCTCGCAAAATGTTTTCCTCTTCTTCTAACGAGTCGCCATTAAAATTTATATTTTGAGTTAGAGGGGTTTTTTTATCTTCAAATAAAACGTTGTTTTCCAAAACAATGCTGAGTTTGTTTGCCTCTTCAGTTTCATTTTCGTCCTCGGAAATATCCTCAAATTCAATGGGAGTGTCGGCTGATCCTTCTCGACTCCTTATGCTACCTTTTTTATCTTCTTCACAGTTTAGCAAAGTCAATTCTTCTTTAAGATTATTATACATTGTGATCAAATCTTCATACTCCAGTTCATCCACATTTTCAAGTTTCCGCTGGTCGACGGTTTTGTTGAATAAATCAATTGCAGAGGTGTTTACATTACTTTCAGCATTTTCTCCATTCACTTCTTGAACCGTATTTGATTTCTTTTCACTCAAGAGGCGGTGCATTTTTAACTTTTCTTCAATGCTCGCTTCCAGAGAATTTGGCACTGCAGGCATAGGGAGCAGGAAACGGTAGTCACGATCGCCCTTTTCCCTCAGAGTGATGTCTGAGTCGAGTATGTTTGGTCCTTTGGTCATCTGGGCACAATATTGATTCAATTTTATGATTTCATCGTTGTCCTTGTTCAGGTGGAAGTCAATATCGAGTATGGAAATCGTTGGATCCTCCGGATCGTACGCTGATTCATCGGAAAAGTCGTCTTCCATTGTGACCGTTGATATTTCGCCTTCATTCTCTAACACGATGGTTCTAGAGTTGTACTCGTAAGTTGGTGGTGATGTGGAAACTGATCTAGGGTCATGATTGTGACCGGAAAACTGATTTGGCGTTGGTAACATGTTGAATAACTAACTAGGAAATGATGTAAAAAATAAAACAAAAACAAAACTGTTTTGGGAGCACATGAGTTTTTTGTTGCGTAAAATTTTTTTCACAACAAACTGTCCCTTCACAGAGAACGTACACTTTCACAAAAAATTCAAAAACTGAACTTTTTTGAACCAAAAAGTTTATTCTTGACAATGAAGCAATGTTCGAAACAGAAGTATCTGTTACAATCAGTACGTTTATTTACAAAAACGTAGTCAACAAAATTTTGACTAGTCTTTCAATTTCATTCCGTATAACTCATGGAGAAAAACAACGACAAATCGAAATCAAATGATCCAAAAGAGATTGTTTTTTCAACCGATAGAAGTTCCAGCGCCAAAGAAAGTGGTAACGGTGCCGGCCCTCAAGACTTTCTCTCAATTAAAGATGACCTTCCGTCAATTTTTGGCTCTGAACTAAATAGCGAGTTGTCAGAGACTGACAAGTTGAGTATAGTTGAATCCCTTTCCAGTGATGATGAGAATAGTGTCAAGTTAAATGGAAAGCCGCCGCCGGTGAAAGTAGGAGGAAAAGGTATCAAAGAACGAGTTGTTCCAACACCAAAAGCAAAACAACCACAACAGAAAAAGCAATCAAAAGCAGATAATCTGGCTCTACAGTATGGCAGTCAATCAGAGGACAGTGACGATGATCAGAAGTACATCTTGGGAGACTACGCTGAAGGCCACCGCATCAATTTGCCTGATACTGTCAAGACAGAGAAGCCAAAGATGACTGCAACCAAGTTAGAGCAAGCAAAAACCATCGCCGAAGAGCCACCTGATAAAAAGGTTGAAAAAGGGGGTCCGATTTTTGAAAAAACACAAACAGTTGCTGCAGTAGCCAAACTTAACAGTTTTCAGCCGTCGAAAGAAACTGACAGCAAAAACCCAGCAAAGCCAAAGACCGCATCACCGGCACCTTTTGTTCACCCACAGCAGCAGCAGCACAAACAAGCGCCACTGCCAAACAGTGCAAAGACCACTGGTTTTGAGCGAACAAAGGCGGCCGATCCAAAGACCAAGTCAGAGAAGAGCACTAAAAAGTCCACTGCGAGCAGTTCTGGCCGACGGACCGCATCGCCGCACAGCCCTGCATCGATAATGGCAAAGTGCGCCTGTAAGAAGCTGGCACCGGGCAAGGTGAACAATCCAATCGGCGAGGCAGAGGGCAGCAAAATTTTTGCTCGTCCCAAGATGGTCAACCTCGACTATGATCCGAGTAAGTTTCTGCCTTGTCAACAAGTTTATGTTTTGCTCACCCAAATGCTTCCTCTTTGGCAGTGCTTCAAGTTGAAATCCTCAAAAGCAAAGCTCCTTTTGTAGCAAAAAAGGTGACACCAAAAGCGCCAAAGAAGTCGCCCTTTCCCGTCGTAGCTCCCAAGGTCCAGCCAACTACACCGAAGGAAAGTCCTAAAGATGTCTAACCTTCATAAAAGATCAAATTTTACACACTTTTACTCAACAATTGACGTGTACTTTTCAATAAACTGCCAATTTACTGGCTTCAAGGTAAGGCAGAAAGGTAGGGCAAAAGTTATCAATTTCAGGCAAACAATGACGAGTTAACAATCTTCAAATGTATGCAAAGAGATAACATCAAATAGAGGTGGTAAAATCAACACAGTGGTAAAACAATGACAAGAATAGTAGTTGACACAAGTTAGCATGACGTGAAGCAGAAGAAATGGTGATGAATGGTATTCGGGTGGCACAAAAGAGAAGGTCGATAATTAATTGGCATATTGATGAAGGGGACAAGTTTTGAAGGTTAAGTACAGGGCGAGTTGGATTTGTGCTTGCAAATGGCGTTCCACAGGCGCAGCTCCTCGCCCAGCGTCAGACCGAGCTTGCGAATGTCGTCGCGGGTCATAAACTCGAGCATCACCTGCAGGGTAATGTCCTGCTTGACCAGCTGTGATTTGAGATAATAGTGAGTGAGTGAAAAGAGATCATCATTAGGTAAATGCACGCTTACCGTTCTGATGGTCGACGGACAGAGGTGGTTACTGTGGAGGAAGGCGAGCATCTGCGGGTCGCCAAAGTTGGTGTCCACGGTGGGTGATGCTGTGTCGGTGATGCTGCCGATGCTAGTGCTGGCGTTGCTGTTGCTGGTGTTGGTGTCCGCCGTGGTGCTCTGACAGGGCTCTCCTGTGCTGTTGCCGCGACATAGTAGCGCCCGTTGGCTGGTGCTGCTGAAGTCCATCTTTGCGTGTGACACCTGCTCGCAGAGGTGCCTGAACAGCGTGTTCTGCTCCTGCAGGTACTCCGCAAAGGTCTCCGAGAGCGTCTTCACCGTCTTCTGGTTCTCTTGGATCAGCTGCTTCAGTTCAGTCTTGAACTGCTCCTTGATCTGCCGACTGAAGAGAATCTCCTCCTCAAAGGAAGGATGCGAAATGGAGCTCTCAAAGTTGGTCATGCAGGAGTTCTGGCGGTTGAAGAGCGTCCCGGTGAGGTTCGTTTCAGTGTTCACCGAGTCGATGTCGTCCACCTTGAAGAGGTGCTTAAAGTTCTGGTAGAGCAGGTTCAGTGCGGACTGCACAGCGGCGCGAATCAGACTGTCCAAGGCGAAGATCCAGTGCGGTGGGATGTTTTGAATTTTGAGAATACTGTCGATTGCGTCTTGAAAGTAGTAGATGGCAGTCTGAATTTGCTTGGCAAGCTGAAACTTTTTGTCCTCGTTTGGAGCTGTCTTTTCGCCATTGGTTGTCGCTGCTGCTGCTGCTGCTTTTACTGTCTCCGCAACAGGTCCATTGGCTACATTTGCCCCATTAGCTCCGCTGCTCTGACTTTGAATAATCTCCTCAAACTCCTTCGCCAACAGATTTAGCGCATTGGAGAGGAAGAGAATGTTCTGACTGGAGGAGATAAAGTCACGAAAGCCTGGCAGAAGGAAGTTCTTCAGGTGGCGATGCTTCAGCATCAACGTCGCCTCCGGCCAGTTCTCCAGCAGTCGACGCAGCCAGACGTTGCAAATGTCCTCCTCATTGTTCTTCAGCACCTGTGCGAGGTTGCGCTGAATGTTCTGCGAGTTCTTGATGAAGAAGGTGTCCGAGCCCTGGTCAGAGTCGTATAAGGCAGCCTCCAGGGTGGTCGGCGTCGGCGAGTAGAACATGCCCGGGGAGCGTTCATCAGAGCTGTATCCCCTGTGTGTGTCGTAAAAAGAAAACAGTTAACACTTTTCCTTGACGCAACGAGATTGCAACGAGTGTCACTCTCTTTCTCACTCTACTTCACTTACATGTTGATGCTGGGTGACTGTGATATGGAGGTGAGTGGCATGCTGTTGCTGCCGTACATGTCCTTTATATTCAGCGACAGGTTGGGATTGAGTCTGTCCGGGGAGGGAAGGAAAGGAGAGAGAGATAAGAGAGGTGCAATTGACTACGCACTAGTGGTGCAACAGGCAATGTGCAATGTGCCCAAGATAAATAAACAAACAAACACTGTTGTTACCTGTTCACTTTAGGCTTGAAGGGCGGCTGCAGTGTGTCGGAGCCGTGGAGAATCTCCGCGGAGGTGGGCTCGCGGTCAGAGCCTGACTCGCCGCTGTTTCCCCCTCCTCCTCCTCCTCCACTGCCACTGGAAGCACTAACCGACATGTCGTGAGGCATGGACACCGATCGGCTGAAGTCGATCTGTCCATTGCCCACCACCAGACCGCCATTGCCCACGGTGGCGGTGTGTGCCCCGCTGCCGCCGCTGCCGGTGACGCTGGTGCTCGTCGCGGAGTTGCTGCCGGAGCTGCTCGAGTGGTTGCCGCCGGGCAGCGCCTGCGTCTTGCGCTTTCGCGAGCCAACACTCTCCAGAAAGGGATCCTCCAGCAGGTCGTTCGCCGTGGGTCGCTTCGCGCTGTCCGGCTCAAAGCAGCGCATGATAAAGTGGCGCGCTTTCTCCGACAGCGTCGACGGAATCTCCGGGTGCTCCTTGAAGAAGCCTACCTTGAAGATCACCTCCTGGCCGGAGCCCACCTCGATGAAGGGCGTCTTCCCCGTGGCCATCTCCACGATGGTGCAGCCTAGTGACCAGATATCGGCGGGTGCAGAGTAGCCTCGGGATCCTTGGTCGATCACCTCCGGGGCCATGTACTGGAAGGTGCCGGTGAAGGTTTCAGTCTTTGGGTGCAGGCCAGCCAGTCGCTTTGAGGTACCGAAGTCGGAGATTTTCACCACGCCCGTATACGTGTTCACCAGAACGTTGTCGCCTGAGGAATGGCGGTGATGGCAAGAGTGAAAGAGAGAGAGAGACAGTGATATGGGTTAGTATGTGTGTTGCAATACGACGAACGAGAGTGACTACGACGCACCTTTAATGTCTCGATGAACAATGTTCTGGCTGTGCAGGTAGTTGAGTCCGTCTAGTATCTGTCTGGTGTAGTAGGAGATGGTGGGCTCTTTGAGGGGGCCCCACTTTGCGCGCAGTAGCTGTGAGAGACTGCCACCGGGCACTCTCTCCATTAGAATCTTGAACACGCCACTGCTCTCATCGTGAATAGAGCCAATGTACTTGACGATGTTTCGGTGGTTCAGCTGTGAGTGCAGCTTGATCTCCTCCTGCAGGGGTTGCACCTCGCTGATTGGCGGTGGCAGTGACGGCGATGGGGATAGTGGTGATGGTGGTGTTAAAGAAAACAAAAGCGGCTAATTAATATCTCTCTCCTCTAATTAACAGAGCAGTGCGTCAGTCAGTCCGTCAGTGTGCATGGCACCGTCTGCACACTGACTGACGACTTCATCCTTCCACTGCCATTCATTCAATCGTTCAGCCGTTCAGTCGGTTTGCTCTACTCACTCGGTGTTTTTGATGGGAATTTCCTTGACGGCAATGTCGCGATTGAAGCTGTCACGGGCCGAGTACACCGTTCCGTAGGAACCCTCGCCCAGCTTGACCTTTTCATTCTTGTCACCGAGGACATACTCAAACTGCCCAATGAAAAAAAGGTAAGTGTTTATAATTGTGCAATTATTAGAAGTTATCAATCCGCAAACATGCACTTACATTTATAGACTCCTGCTCGGTGTGCGCATCCAGATCAGTGACGCACTCATCGTTGGCCGTCAGCTCGAGAACCAGTTCGTGAAACTTTTTGCGATACTCATCCGAGGGAAAGAACATCTGAAAGTCGTCAGAGAGAACGTAGAGAAAGAGACACCTCTGGTCGGCCTTGTACATACTGCAGAAATGTAGGTAAGTAAGTCATTGATTTATTAAACACGCTAGAGGCAAAAAGTCAGTTACCTGAGGCCGCGAATTTTAGAGGAAGGGAAAAGCCACTTGTGCGGCCGCTTGCACGAGTCAGAGGAGAGACACAGCCGACAGAGGTTGCTAATCTGCAGCGACTTGCCATCCTGGTCGTCCAGGTTGATGGTGACGTAGCTGGGCATCGTCGACTTGTCAATTTCCAATATGATCACCGGAAAGCGAATCATATGTCCGGGGTCGTCTTTCGCCGCCTCAATGAAGAACTCCATCCAAAATTGAAAGTGCTGCTCCTCGGCGGAGAGCCGGGCGTCCTCCGGCTTCCTCCGAAAGTCATTGATCAGGCAGATGTTGCGAATGGTCGACTTGAGGTACCAGCCGGGCGGCTTCAGGTTGAACATGCACTCCGCCGCCTCGCAGGCCTTCGCGTAGTTCTCCGCCAGGACGGAAATCTCGAAGAAGGTGGCCACGTCCCAGTAGTCGGCCAGCGTCTTCAGACTGCCCTTCCGCCCGATGAGGATGTTCAGCACCGAGGCGACGTTCTGCAGCTCCGGCGAGTTGTTCAGGTCGTCGCCCTTGATGACCAGAAGCGTCGCCAGGTTGATGGCCGCGTACTCGTTCGGTTGGTAGTCGAAGCCCTTTCGGTACCAGATGATGGCCTGCTCCAGGCTGTTCTTGTCCTGGTAGTTCGACTCAATGAAGAGGTCCTTGTAGATGCGGCCGGCCAGGCAGAAGAGGTCCGGACTGCAGTTCTCCTCGTAGGGCAGTGCCTGGTGGATGCGCTTCAGCGCCTTCTCCCGGTCGCCCAGGGCGTTCCGCCGACTGAGCGCAAAGGCGTACAGGTACTGAATGAGCGGCGTGAACTGAAAGTTCTCATTGTCCTGCAGCTCCTCGATGAAGGCCACCATGGAGTTGTAGTCCTGCACCTCGCGGAAGGAGACCAACAGGTTGTGGATGATATCGGAGGAGATTAGACTGGGATTGGTCAGCTTCTTCCGAAATTCATTGAGCGCCTTGGCGAGCTCTTCGCCGGTCAGTGAATCGCGCGCCTTTCTAAGCTCGTTGAGAAACTTCTCCTTCAAGTGGGTTCTGCAGAGAAGAAGGAAAGATTGTTTTGTAAAGCTTTGCAAACAATTTCCCTGAGCTCACTTACTTTGTCTGAATCTGCACGTCCTGCAGTGAATTGCGCAGCTTAGTGCTGAGGAGAATCTTGGTCTCCGAGGAGAGCGGTCGGTTGGTGGAGAGCTCCGGTTTGATGCCGACCACCGGTTCGGTGACGTAGCACTTCTTGTCAGTCGGTGAGAGGCGGTAGGAGATCAGGTTGAAGTTGGAGATGGGCAGGTTCCGGGGAATGGTCACCTTCAGGGAGTCGTCGTTGTAGATGAGAATGTTGTGGCGCATGCCAAAGTTCTCGCGGTTGCCGATGCGGTAGAAGAGCGAGTGCTGCTGATTCTGAATGGACAGGTCGACGATGGCCACGTCGGCGGCGTAGAAGGCGTCCGCGGCGTTCAGCTCATCAAAGTCGAGCTTCGAGAGGGCGATCAGTTGACAGTTGGCGTTGGAGATGTGGCAGGCCCGCTTGATTTCCTCGTAGGCAGCCAGGCGGTGAGACAGCGAAAGGTTGTGGATTTTCTGCAGAGATTGCGTGCAGCAAGTGAATGTTTGTGGTGATAAGGGGGTAGGAGAGGAGAAGGAAAAGGAGAAGAGGGAGAGGCAGAGGCAAACAGACAGACAGACTGTTAGAGACACTGGAACCTGAGACGTGATGATGGACGAAACGAGGAGGCAAAGCAAAAGCATGTCAGCCGCCAGACATGCAGAGTGCACTCTGTGCAATCAGCTCACCCAGTCCGTGTGCCGTCCGTTGGTACACCAGGCGAGTGAGCATCAAGCGAACATATAAAGCAGCCTAGTAAAAGAGCTCATCATCATCAGTGCATCATCATTCATACCATATCAATGACCACGGCAACATCAATGCGTGGTTTTGAGTTGGTCTGCGGTGTCTGGCTGGCCGAAAGGTCGTTCGTCGATTCCGCGGCGACGGCGGCGGACGTCGATTCTTCCGGGGCGGAACGATCGGCGGCGACGGTGGCCGTCCCCACCGCCAACCCTGCCACCACCGTCTCGGTGGCAGCCTCGGTGGGGTCTGACATGGCCAGCTGGCTCCTCACCCGTCTGTCTGGTTGACTGGGGGCTGCACTGGATTGTCCAGATGATTGATGATTGGCTCGGTAGAATCGCGCCAGACAGCCTCTCTCTCACTCTCCCTCTGCTGGTCCTTCTCTCTCTCGCCCAGTGTTTACGAAAACAACTGAAAGTGAGAGAGAGAGAGAGAGAGAAGGGAGCGAAAGGGGGAACTAAAGGGGGAACAGTGATAACACACACACCAGAGAAGGCGGAAGATGGTGGGCAGTTAAAGACGCTTCGTTTGATGTTGACGGTACTGTTTTTGTTGTTGTTGCTGCTGCTGATGCGGCGGTGGGTGCTGCTGCTGATGCTCTACTGCTTCCGTCTTCACATGTTGCGCCATTGGCAGAAGGAAGGGTGGCACAGTGTGTTCAAGTCGTTCTACAGTAGCGATAACAACACGGATGATATTGCTGATGTCTTCACCCTGGAAAGACACTTATCAGTGGCAGGCGTTACGTCGATGTCTCATCATGGGCCACTCTATCAACGGAGGCAGTGAATGACTCTTGTACCAGCCTTTGACTTGGACAGCGTCTTCTTCAGGTAGATGGATCGTCTTCCCAGGCGATCAAATGGCTGGTTAAAATGGATGGCTGGATGTCTGGCTGGGCGAGCACCGTGACCGCATCACATGAACGTAGTGGTCTCTCGGTGTGCCTGCCTTAGTCTCTGTATCTGTGTGTGAGTTTTGCCTGTGTGAGTGTGTGTGTATTTGCACTTGTGCTGCCGCTGCTGCTGCTGCTGCTGTTGCTGCCTTTTCTACCACCTAAATAACTCATTTGGTGCGACGAAGACAACTACGACGGCGACGATGGTGTAAAGAGGAGGCTGCTGATGCTGTCTGGAGAAGAGGATAAAGAGCTGACTCCAAAACAGATGCACGAGCTGAGCACTACCACTCACAAAACACACACAGACTCACACACACTCAGCCTGACAACACTCCGATCGCACAGTCGTCGAAGAAGAGAGCTTAGATGGTGAGTTCTTAGAGAGTGCCGTTCTCCAGACTGCTGAGCAGTGGCACTCTCTCGCTCCCTCTCACTCCTCGCCAGCAGCTCCCGCTTCTTCTCATTCCACTACCGTTGCCGCGACGGCTGATGCGCTTCTTTTGGGTGTTGCGGCCAGGCCAGACACAGGCACTCCTGCTGCCAACAACAACCAACTCGCAAGATATCACTTCCAAGCTAAACATAGGCAGAGATATATAGGAAGCAAAAAGTACGATCACCATCACCACCACGTCGCACGCACTTGAGAAGGAAGAGCAGCACGCGTCTGTCTGTGTGGTCTCAGTGTAGCCATTGTCTTCGCCAGAGCCGCCACCACCAGCGATTCTCTCTCTGGCCAGCGCGCCAGTCAACGCCAATCGCCCAATGCACACCTGCTGATGATACCTGATTGTTCTGCCTATCTCCCCCACTTCTAGTCGGCGATAATTGCCCGTAACGAGCTTGTCATCGTTTGCTGGNCAACCAACTCGCAAGATATCACTTCCAAGCTAAACATAGGCAGAGATATATAGGAAGCAAAAAGTACGATCACCATCACCACCACGTCGCACGCACTTGAGAAGGAAGAGCAGCACGCGTCTGTCTGTGTGGTCTCAGTGTAGCCATTGTCTTCGCCAGAGCCGCCACCACCAGCGATTCTCTCTCTGGCCAGCGCGCCAGTCGACGCCAATCGCCCAATGCACACCTGATGATGATACCTGATTGTTCTGCCTATCTCCCCCACTTCTAGTCGGCGATAATTGCCCGTAACGAGCTTGTCATCGTTTGCTGATTTATCGTCAATCACTTCTACTTCGCACCAACAGTCATCAGCAGAAACTTCAACCAGACAGTACATAACCGAAAGTTGTACTCAAATATTTGAGGAAATTCAATCGCGTCAGCAAAAAAATCGTTTCACTGTCATCCTACGTCAAGAAAAAAGGCTCTGACCATGAAAGCAACAAGTGCTGAGCACCGTCTTCTTTTCCAATTTTGACACGGCAGCTCAGTCATATCAGTTCAGAAAGGAAATCAGCATTCCTTTTAAAGGACGCAGGTCAATCGCAGACACAACTGTCCCACAGTGCCACGTGGTCAGAGGGCACATGTTAAAAGGAGGAGCACCAAAGAGGTGTGTGGAAGAGTGGAACAGCTGCTCAACAAGTGTTTTGGTGTGCTACTTCTGGACCAGCAGTTCTTTACCTGAGCAGCTGAGCTGACCGACAGAGACCAGCAGTGCCGGTCCTTCCACACCTGCCTTTACCACAATAGCACCAGTACTTTCTGAATTCTCGCAATCGAGTCAAGACAATTCATCCACCGGCGATGGTGCACTGTTGAAGGCAGCCACTAACATCGGACACCACTTTTGCAAGTGCAAGACAGGCTAAACAACGATGATATAGCACTGTTTCCGACAGATGTCCTGGCAGGTCTCTGTTGTGGCGAGTTTTTGTTGTTTGAGTCGAGTTCTTTCTTTCTCTCCCTCTCTTTGCTTTGATCAACGCACTGCGACACTACTGTACTGTCTGTTGGATCTTTCTGCACCATTACCAAGGAAATCAATCAACCCACTCCAGGCTCATCACCGGATCTCCATCTTCTTTTGGCTAATCTGAACCGCTGCCGGGCCTGCCTTTCCTGCAATCTTTCTTCGATTACGGTGCAGCTCCTAGAACCATGTTTCAGTCGAACTACAATTACCCTCCGTATGGAACAAACGCCTCGGCAATTTCTAACTTTTCCTCGACCAGCAACTACCATCATCATGACTTTGAGTTCAACGGGTTCAACTACATTCCACCAGAGGAGATTGAAATTTTCAATAACGTAAGTGTTTATTCTCTCCACGTAGTTACTAATTTGTAACCTTTTATTGATTAGGAACTACTTGGAAACGGATCATTTGGATATGTAAAAAAAGCTCGATGGAAAGGCCAAATTGTGGCAGTTAAGTTTCAAATGGAAGCAACTCAGTTCAAAACTGAAGCAGAGCAGTTGGCTAAAATTAGCCATGAAAACATCATCACAGTCTACGGACACTCCATACAAAACGACAATTATGTAATAGTGATGGAGTTTGCCAAAGGAGGAGCATTGGCTGCCTGTAAGTATTGAGTGAAATATCTGATGACTGATCATAATCTCATGCTAATCTATCTCTCAATTTTTAGTGCTCAGTGATCCCAACTACCGGTCAATCAACTATAAACTATCACACGCTATCTCGTGGTGTCTGCAGTGTGCCAGAGGTGTGCAGTACTTACATTCAATGAAACCAAAACCATTGATTCACAGAGATTTGAAACCTCTAAAGTATGTCACTTTGAACTTTGAGTTTACTGAAATAATTGGCACTAATTGGTACTTAATTACAGCCTCCTACTAAATCAGGATGGATTAATACTGAAAATTTGCGACTTCGGCACGGCCTGTGATAAGAAGACCATAATGACCAACAACAAGGGCAGTTCTGCGTGGATGGCACCTGAGGTTTTTAAAGGGAACGACTATTCGGAAAAGTGCGACGTTTTCAGCTGGGCCATCATCCTCTGGCAGTGCCTCTCTCGGCGACAACCCTTCAGCAAGTACGACAATGAGTACGCCATTCAGTGGTCAAAGGTGGCACTGGGCAAGAAACCACCGCTGCTTAAAAACTGCCCTTCCAAGCTGAAGAACCTGCTGGAGTGCTGTTGGAATCAGGACCCAGCAGTTCGACTGTCCATGAATGAGATTGTCCCAATAATGGAAGAGCTCTACAGCCACTGCGAGCCTGCCACGCTCTATCCACTAAAATTAGTTCCTACAACAAGTAAGTAAACTCCAATTGTTTAATTTTTGTTTTGGTCGTTCATTTAATTTTTTCCCTAGATGTAAAAGAAGCAAAAGTTTTTATTTCAAACTTTGTAAGTTTGATCATTTGAATTGCACTCGATTATTCTAATTTTGTATTTTACATAGAACAACTCACTAAACAACTCCAACTCAAGCAACGGCAGCAACTTCTTTAACCGTCGAATATCTGATGACAACTTGGTCTCACGAGACACTGTCGAACATAAGCCCAACTACATGACACACAAGCGCTCGTGTTCAACTGACGCCGGAGTTTTTCTCGGCGACCTGGGGCCATCTTCCTCCTCTCATGGCACCGTCGTTAATGGTGGTGACAGCATCGAAGACAGTGAGAACGACGACGCAAGGGCTGAGGTGGCGAGCGGCTTGTTACGAAACTTCAATGCATATCTGGTCCTCGATGAGCGACACTGGCCCGGTCAGCCTGATATTAAAAACTCCGAATCAATTATACTTTTCGAAGAGCACAAGCAGGAAGCGGTGAAGCTTCTTCGAAACACCTTTGAAATTGCTCGCTTGGAGAGTTACCTGAAGGACCTGCAAAAGTGGGACGAAGACCCGGATTCCAAAGATACGGCTGCCATTTACATGCGTTTTGTCGATGAGAATCGCAACCTGAAGAAGCTCAATGGCAGCTTTATTGACCAGCTTTCTAGACCACGAGAATCGAGATCTAACTCATCAGCCCAACAGCAGCAGCAACAGCCTAGTTTGGAAGTGGGTGGCTGGATCATGGTGGATCGACCACCAGCTGGCGGAGCATCAGCACCACGCTGAGTTGCACGATCTGTGGCTGCACACTCATTCTTTTTTGTAAACTAAGTCAATTCTAAGATTTTATATTTTTTTTATTGTTTGTCAGTTTTATCTTTTTTGTATATAAAACAAATCATGTGTTTTAAACTCTTTCTCCCCCGGTGCAATAGTAGACGGTACTTAGCGGTTAGTCGAAACGAATCATTATTTTTCCATCATAAAACGAAACTTAACTTTGATCAATAAAAGAACTTGAATGTTTGACTTTGAACTGACATTGCCCTTTGCTTTGAAGGATTCACTATTGTAAAGTGGTGCTCCCGGGGTGAGTGCCCTGTGTAGTAGTTCTGTGCGCG